CTTGGCGTAGTCCGTCTCGTTACCGTCGGAGTCCTTGGGCTGCGTGTCCACTCCGTCGGGCTTGGCCGCACCACCCTTCTCAGCCTTGACTCTCTTGAGCTCAGCTGAAAGAAACTCCATCTGCTTCTGCATCTGCTTATACTGATCACTCCACGGCGCTGGAGACTGTGATGCACGGCGAGGCGCTGACGCAGGCTGCTGCGTCGCCTCCCTCGCAGCCTTCCTCGCACGTTGGATGAATGCCGTCGGTGCATCCTGTCCGCATCTGCACTTGATGCGGCTCGCCCAATTCGCCGACGCTCCACAGGATGGGCACCCCCACGTGGGTTTGCGGGGGCCTGGTAGTACAGGCCCCGCCATGAGCGCCATCGGGGAGATCCTCTCGACCTCGCCCACACAACACTCGTGTTCTCCGTCTCAAGAAAATGGGGTGCTCCTGCAGGAGCTCACTGCCACAATGGCTCGCTGCGGCGGTGCCGTTCTGAAGTCTGCCGCAGCAAGCTCAGGACACCTGAGCCAGAACGGCTTGACCCTCCCAAGGGGGCGTGGCACGCAGGAAGGGCGAGAGCCAAGGGGAAGGGGAACGTGAAGAGAAGATGCAGGAGGCAGGATGGACGCGAAGAGGGGGGAGAGAGAGGCTGGAGGCCCACGTCTCCTTCTAGTGGAGCACCCCCCGATGCCGCCCCGATCAAGGACACGCTACGACAACACCCCGAGCACCGACCGAGGGCACGCTGCGCGCGCCCGTACAGCGCGGGCGGGAGGTGAAGCCCGGGGGGAAGCCCGGAGCACCCTGAACGCAGCAGCTTCGGTGACGGCCGCGGAAAGTCACCGCGCAGCGCGCGGAGCGAAGAAACCCAGGGTACCCCAACGAAAAGCATATGGTTTCTTGATGCGCGCCCCCACTGTACCCCCGTCGCGGTGCAAACCCCCGCTCGGGCACACGCTAACATGGATTATATACCCGATGATCTGGCGCGTGGGCGCCAAACCCGCGGATCGAAAAGAGCACGCCCGAAACGTCACGGGCCAACGCAACCTCGTTTGGCGACGGAGCGCACCGATTTTGATGGGCATGTTTTCTACCACCACCATAAGTTGGAGGGGGGAAGGAGGATGACGAAGAGGAGGACGGAGAGGAGGATGAGGAGGAGGAGGAGGAGGAGGACGGAGGAGGAGGAGGAGGAGGACCCCCTCCCCCTTCAACTTATGGTGGTGGTGGTGGTGGTGGTGGTGGTGGTGGAAAACAAGCCCATCAGATTTTATGTGGGCGACGATCAAACACCGGCCTTACGCGATATGGCATAGCAACCTTATGCGGAGGCTTACGCGGGTCGCCCGCGCGGCCCGCCACGTTCGAAGCGAGGACGCTTACGCGCGACCATACGCGGGCAGCTTCCGCGCCAATGTCGGCGCAGACGACTACATTGTCTTGCGTCGCCCATGTGTTGACGAGCGCGTTCCACTACTCGCAAAGTGACTACTCGCAAATGCTCAGGATCCGCGATGAGGGATTTTGCGACACATGACTTCGATGCAAATATGTTTTTTGTTCTGACGCTTGCGAGTAGGCACTCTGCGAGTAGTGGAACGCGCTCGGTGAATGTGGGAACGGGACCCGTCACTAACCCACGCGCCTCAACCCGTGTTTACGCTTCCTTGACGCGCGCCCTGTGCGGGACCTCGCCACTCGAACCACCCCTGCCCCCGCGATCCCCTTCTCCCCCGCTCATCAAGCAACAGCCTGGACCAGCCTGGAGGCTCGCCCCTGCAAGCTTGTCGACCTGAGCCTGGCCGTGGGTGGCCACGAGGGCCCCACAGATGGCTTCTGAGCATGAGAAGGCGTTTGGAAATCGACGACCGTCTTGCTCCTCCTCGTTCTCGTCCTGGTCCTGGTCCTCGTCCTCTTCCATCCTCCGCGACCTCATGAACTCACGGCTCGGCGAAGGCTCCCAGGCGGCGGCACTGTCGAGACACCCTGCAGACCAGGGCTCGCGAGGGTCGCTCGCCTGGACGTCCCTGAGCCCTACGCCACCCCAGCAGGAAGGGGAGGACGCAGCGGCCGAAGAGGCCACACTCGGGCCGCTCGGAAGCCTGGAACGAACACGGACAGCATCCCTTGAGGCTGGGCCGAGGGGAAACATCGGCGGGGGAGCAGGCTCGGGGGGGGGAGCCATCGAGCTGCCACCGGCGATGCATCGCCGAAGGATAGGCGGTAGGCTCCCGATACGGAGCCCGAACGCTCCTGGGCGGAGTGGGCCGTCGGGCCCCTCACGGCACAAGGCACGCTCGCTCGCTCGCTCGATGCGCACCCTGCGGAGGATGCCCAACAGATTCACAAGACAAGGAGACGAAGCCAGGACAGGCCATCGGGCCCCTGTCGGCGATGAACGGGTGACCACGCCCTCCTGGGCCTATCCCTCCTGCGCTGCCCCCGAGGCGAATATTTTCAAACACTGGCGGTTCCCGCCGGCAGGAAGAGGCAAGCGCTGAAGGAGCACGAGCTCTCGCAGCTCCGCGCCTACTTCTCGGAGCTGCGCTGGACACTCCTGCGCCGATCCCAGACATCCGCAGATCCAAGACATCCGCGCGGAGCTCCGAGGCTGTATGATCACCAGGCCGTGCAACGTTCTTCGAACCTCGAGGGCCTTCCGCCGAAGAACAGGCGCCAAACGGCAGAGGGGCATTGGCTCAGGGGGGAACTGACTACCTACCAGACCACCCCAACCCAACCCGAAGACCCGAATTTGACCCGAATTTCGGGTTGGGGGGGGTACGGATACCACGTGTTTTTTCAACGTTCCCCGACCCCCCCCCACTGGAAATCGAGGATAAATTTGGGCCTTCGGGTTGGGTTGGGGTGGTTTGGTGGGTGGTGAGGAACATCGAGCTGAAATTGGCCATACATGATCCCCGATAGGGGCCAGATAGCCCACACCGCCCTGGAACGTGGGGATTCGCTATCGCGGGCCTGTCGCGACGATCTATCGGCGAGGCATCGCCGATTCTCGGGGGCGCGCAACCACGGATTAGCGATCCGTGGATTTGGCGCGCGGTCGCCAAATCCATGGATCGGGGGAGGTGCCCTCCCCAGAATGCGGCCGGTGCCGCCTCGTTCGGCGGCGGAACTCCGCGATCTCCCATGGAAACGGGACCCGTCGCTAATCCACGCCCCCTGAATCCATGTTTGCGATCGCCTGAGATTCCAGCTCGATGTTCCCGCCCCTGAGCCCATCCCCTCCTCTCGTTGCCCCTGCACCCGCTCCCTCTCCGATCACCCCTCGGAACGGCGAGGCCGCTCCCGACGTCCGCGCCCTGCACGGCGAGAGCCTGGCGATGTCTGCGCCCGTGGGGAGGCACTCTGAAGGTGCCCCTGGACACACAAATAAACATACACAAATGACAGGATTCCCCCATATTTCCCCATAGTTTCTGGGTTTTCGTCTTCCCCCCCACTTCCCATATTTTTTTATATTTTCCTGGGAGTCGACGATTTATTTGCGTCTGTGTTTTTACACCTCCTGACACTCGCGCGCAGGGGCTCCACTGGGCATGCTCGAGCTCGATCGGATCGCGGGATCGGGTCTCGGAGGATGGAGGCCTCCCAGATGGGGTCCGAGCTGATGGGGGCGGAGGATGGTGCCGCATCGCCCATGCATCTGCGACCCTGGCGATGCATCGGCGGTGTCGGCGTGGAGAAAACCGGGCTCTGCATCAAGCCGCGTCGGCGATGCATCGTCGATGCGGCGCGATCCTCCGACCCTATCTGCTCGGACCCCATCTCGGAGACCTGGAAGAATCGGATCTCGGAGGGCCAGTCAAGACAGCGGCGGCCATCCCCTCGCCACGATTGGATCGGCTCTGGAAAACGGGTCAGGAGCACCACATGGGAAGGGTCCGAGGAGGGATTATTCGAGCCGATTTGGGCCAGGCGAGTGAGCCGCCATTGTCTCACCTGGCCTTCCCCCGAAGATCGCATCGGAAACGGATCGGGCCGCAAGCGAATCGTCGCGAACCGGATCGGAATTGGATCGCTGATGGGCCTGTTTTCCACCACCAGCATAAGTTGGAGGGGGGAAGGAGATGCGATGCGATGCGATGCGACCACCGTTGCGGACAGCGTCCGGGCCTAGAGCAAACCAGGTGGGTGAGGCCATGGCCTCTAGGATCTGCGGTGTCTGGATTCATGCAATGCGAGACATGAAAAAAGTTAGGAGGAGAGGGGGAGGAGGAAAAGAAAGTCCTTGGTGTCGGTGTCGGCGCGGGTTGGGCGAGACGTCTCCACGTTCGTTGAGATTTTACGTCATTGGTCTGAGTCCCAGGTGCTGGTCGACGTGAGGTCGGTGAAGTGGTGCTCGAGCGCTGTCCATGCTTCAGTGTCTTGGGCTGTTTGCGTCCATGTGATGTCGTTCAGTTGTCCTTTCGAATGGGATTGCGTGGGCGGTCAGTGGAGGTCTGGTCTGCGTTGGCGTAAGTAAGTGGTGATTTCGTCGTCCCAACGCTTGTTTTGGCCAACGTCCTGCCTGTGTCCCCGCTGGCGCGGGTTGAGGACTGGGTGCCAGCGCAGCACTCGCCATGTCCACCTCGTCCGTTCGTGGTTTGCGACTCGTGAAGCCATGCGCCATACTTTCCGTAGAAGGACGAGGAGGAGGACGAAGAGGATGATGAGGAGGAGGAGGATGAGAAGGAGGAGGAGGAGGAGGAGGAGGAGGAGAAGGAGGAGGAGGAGGAGGAGGAGGAGGAAGAGAAGGAGGCGGAGAACCCCCTCCCCCTCCAACTTATGAGGAGGAGGACCCCCTCCCCCTCCAACTTATAGTGGTGGTGGTGGAAAAAAGGCCCAGCAATCGCCGCGCCCGTCTCAGCCTGGCCGGGCCGAGGCCAGCGGATGGAGCCGAACCGAATCGAATCGCATCGCGGCCACGGCTGGCGAATCGACTCGCACCGCAGCAAGGCGTCGGTGGCCCTGCGCCAGGGCACAAGGCAGGGGCGGACGGGCGTGCCTCCTTGCCCCCGCTCAGCGGGTTCAGGTACGTGACGAGGCTCCGGACGCGGTCTCCTCGGATCCGCGAGAGATGCATCGCGCGAGCAGGCAGGAGAGCACGAGCTGCAGCATGGACCGGGAGGTGTGCCGAGCGGAGGGCGCCATCTCGAGCACAGGGCAGCGGCAAGAGCAGCGCTCGAGGGTGCCGCGTGCACGGCTGACTGGGATACGGGCAGTGCTCCCTCGTCCGCCAGCTCCTCTCCCGGCCTGGACGAGACTCGCCTCCGTCAGTGTCCTTCTCGCCGAATTCGTCCACGTCGTCCTCGTCCTGTGTCCTCGTCGTCGTCGACTTGCCCTCTCTCGCCCTCGCCGTCGCCGTCGTCGTCGTCGTCGTCGTCGTCGTCTTCGATCGACGTCCCCGTCCTCGTCCTCGTCTTCCTCCGCCTCCTCCTGGAAGACCAGGCACACGCCGTCTGAAAACCTTGCGCATACATGTAGTTTTTGGCATGAGAACACTGATGTGATAAGTATGCGGGCGCATGTGCTGCGAATCCTGAACACTTCCGGAGGGGCCCCAGGACCCCCCCTGCCGAAGCCACTCTCCCCGTCCCTCTTCCCTCCCTCCTGAGGGAACGAAGCGGCTCTAGGAGCGAGAACAATATCAATGACACGCCGCCATGGAGAATCCATCAGCGCGCTACTGCTGCAGAAACGCCAGGACTCAGGACATCGGACAGACACGGAGGAGCAACGCGCCATCGATCCCCAAAAAGCACGTCATATCCCTGTGAGGCGACCTGCCCGCGAGGGCCCCTTCTGCGCATGCTAACCCCCTGCGATGGCCCCGTCGGTGCGCGCAATCCCCCGTCCCAGGGCTTCTTCGGCGCACGCGCTTCCCAGTGCGGGGGATAGCTTGCAACAAGCGTGCCGGCGGCTCCACATCGCACGCTATCTTTGCGACGCCAGCTGTACCCTTTTTCTGGGGAGACGAAAAGGTACCAATACCGCTACTCCCCGGATCTCTCCCGGGGTGCGTTCTGCCAAGGATTTCGAGGCGAATCAATCGGTGGCGACGCGGGCCTCCGAGGAGGCCCGAAAACGGGAAAACGAGGAGAGGGTAGAGGTATGGGTACCTTTCCCTACTCCGATTTTCCCTCCAGAGAATTACCGATGCCGCGACTCCTCGGACCCCTCCCGGAGCCGCGCTCGAGCTCCGACCAGGGCTCCGGAGCGAGGCCCAGCCGCCCGCGGCGACGAGGCCCCCCCCCCTCCCAGGAAGGTCCCGTGTAGGAGGCGCGAGGGCGCAGCGTGGGGGCATCGGTGTCGCGCGTCGTTCCCTCGCCCGGCCCCGTACGCTTCCCCATCCATCGCCGAGGGCTCAGAAGCTTCTGCCGCTCCCCCCCCTCCCAGGAAGGCCCCGTGTAGGAGGCGCGAGGGCGCAGCTTGGGGCCATCGGTGTCGCGCGTCTTTCCCTCGCCCGGCCCCGTACGCTTCCCCTCCCTCGCCGAGGGTTCAGAAGCTTCTGCTGCTCCTCGACGTGCGCGGGGCCTTCCTCGACGTATGCAGATGTGTCCGAGTGCTTACGTATCATGTCGGTTACCCGGATCCGTCGTGATTCATCGAGGTCCACGTCGGACACACGTATTTCTCTAGCTGCCTTTCTCCCGCACGTCGACTGGAGAAATTCGCCAATCCCTTGGGGACTCTCCCTCCTCGGCCGCCCCCATCGAGAAAGAGAGACCGCCCCTCCTCCTCCACTCCTCCCACCTCCGCCGCCCTCCGTAGCCACGACGTCGCCCGCGCGAGACTGCTCCCTCTTCGCCCAGGGAGGATGAGCATCTTTAAACCGACCCCCATCTCCACTGGCATGACCTCGGCCCCACTGGCCGACTTACCCTCCTAATTTAGGTCCCAGGTGGGGATGTATGCTGCGCCCTTTGGGTTTCGCGGGTCCTATCCCCACTTGCGAGGGCCGGCTGTTGGGGCTGAGATACCACAGAGTGGGGGGGGAAACCAGACAGACGAAGCTGACAGCAAGAGAGAGGGAGGATCGCATGGGAAACGGGACTCAGGGTGAGAAACATCGAGCTTGGATCGGCGATACATCGCCGATAGATCGGCGACAGGCCCGCGATAGCGAATCCGCACGTTTCCGGGCGGGGTGGGCCATCGGGCCCCTATCGGCGATCAGTGGGCGAATGAGGGTCGTTGCACCCCCTACTAAGCATACCCCTCCCCCCCACCAACGCTGTCCCCTGGCTTTCCGGGTCATGACTCGGTTCTCCGGGCGGGACGATCTGGGCACCCCAGGAACTCTCCAGCTGAGGCGCAGCGGCAGGACGGCATCCCCGAGGCTGGAAAACTTCCCCTCCAAAACTTAGACATCCCCAAACTTAGACATCCTCGAACATCCCAAAACTTAGACATCTGGAACCCTCGAACACACTCCAAAACTTAGACATCCCCTCCTCGCCTCCTCCCCGGAGCCTGTACCCCCTGAGCCCGTCCGTCGCCCTCTGGCGCTGCCCCTGAGGATGGCGGTTCACAAGAAGGCGGCGAAGGTCGAGGGAGGCGGAGCGAAGGGGTGGAGCAGAACGTCCAGGGCGCAATCGCACCCCTCGGGTCGCCTTCGGTGGCCACTCATGGAAGCCTCCCATGCCATCCTGCTGACTCTTCTTGCGAATCGACGATGGTCGACGCTAGACCGACGCTAATCCGGCGCGTTCTCATCAACTAGCAGGCGCTATCAGAACGCGTGTGCACTCTAGTTAATCACTGGCCTGCGACGACGTACAAGGATCCCATGGTTTGCTACCGAAGCCGTCTTCCGATGGCGTCGGGCCCCGGCGAAGGCCCCCAAAGGCAGAATAGAGGATATATGTTCCCGCCGTTTTACGGAGGCCTCCAAAAATAGAGTCCAAGTAGACGGGGTCAGAGGATCGTGCCCCGCGCCGCATCGCCGATGCATCGGCGAGGCGTCGGCGACGTCTGCGACGCATCGTCGTCGTCGGCGTAGACAAAATCAGGCTCCACATCGAGCCGCATCGCCGATGCATCGGCTATATGCGGCGCGACCCTCCGATCCACATCTACCTCGACCCCGTTGGGGACGCCTGTGATCTTAAGCCTTCTCCACGACGCTGATTTCCTTTCGGGTCTTGCCGCGCACCCTTCCAATATGAAGAAGAACTGCCAATCTAAAGAAGAACTGCCATTCTGAAGAAAAATTCCACGCAAGAAAAGCTTGATGCGCACCCTTCCAATCTAAATAATCTCCACGCAAGGAAACCTGCCAATGTAAATGACAACTGCCTCCAGACGGCCCCGGGCCCTGGCGAGGACCCAGGGAGGCGGGCGCCGCCGTGCGTTCTTTCTCCACGGCGCGAGGAGCCGGCTGCTGCTGCCACCCGCGAGGGATGAAGAACGGAACGGAACGGAAGACCCGAAGGGGAGTGCACAGCACTAAATATTTAAGCAGAGCTTAAAACACTAAAACGGAACAAAACTTCTCTTATGGAATTGGCCACCTTGGCCTGTTCCTTAAGACGGATTCTTTCACATAAGGCTGACATACGCTGCTCATAAGAGGGGGCCGTCTGGGAACTTGAGTGTGAGGTCTCCACAACCGTCGGAGCGTCTGGGACACGAGGGGCGGCGGATAGGCCAAGCCTAACAAGAGGGACCGCACGATCGAGAGCAGCCCGCCCGCTGGGGTTAGGGCAATTACCCTTCCTGAACTCAGACAACATCTCCAAACCTTTGCGAGACGGAGCCCCGCACTGACGGCCAAACTTTCAACCCCCCCCCTCGGGGCCAACCCCCGCAGCGAAGACAGAGGATCTGCTTCCTGGACGGGCGCCGACACGACTCAGGCAACGCACCAGCAAACGAGCTAGATCCGACCATAGCGGCGAGCTTGTGGCCCATGGAGTCACGGAGCAGACCTCGGGGGAACGGCGGCAGCCCGCGACAACCATCCATCGGGGCGGTATCACGGCTGCCTTCAGCAAACCTGAAACAGTTCCTGCACTGGAGGCCAAGCTCACTCTTGCTCCAAACGTGCCACGACACTTGTCGCCGCGACCTCGGGGCGCTGGTTCGGCGAGGCCTTGCCCACCGCACCTCGTTGTCGAAACAGGGGAGAACACTCGCTGCAAGGTTCATGAAATGCCCCGCTCGTTCACCAGCCACATTCAAATCACTGATGAAGTCTGGCATGAGAGCAGGGTGCATGCTTAAACCTTGTTTAGCATATCTGTCAGCAGCAGCATTGGCAATGGCAAAGACCTTCTCTTCGCCATCTAGGCCCTGAATCTCTGACTCATCTCTATGAGCCTTCACGTGCCGAATTTCCGGAATCAGGGCCGCGCCTTCGAGCTGCTGCGCAAAGGCTCTTACCCCAGCGTGCTGGCTGGAGAGGGCGAGCTGATCATTCACACGCTTCTGACACAATCTGATGGCGGTTTGGCAGTCGGCCCCAAAAACTGCAGGGCACGAGGCTATCTGACCGCAGATCGCAAGCCACAGTGTTCGGCCATAGCTGGCGTCTGCGGCAGCACTCCTGGGGCGATACCTTTGACCACCGCCACGGGATCCCCCCCCCCCTCGCCTGGGCAGGCAGCTACTGCCCACGCCGCCCGCTGCAGCGGCCGAATCCAAAGCTTCGTGCTCGAACCATCGGACTCCAATCGCAGCGGGGACTGGGAGGTTAATTCAGCGATCGGTTCAGGCTCCATGTCTAGCTCGTTTCACACCTCAGACGACATGGACGGGCAAGGCAGCGAGCTATCTTCATACGAGTACACACCGCGCGTGAAAATTGGGCTGTCGGGCTCGTCACGCGCAGCGCTGAGGAAAGAAACAGGCACCTCAGATGCTGCGCGCGCCTCGAGAACTCGGGGAAGCGTGCAGGAACAGAGCCTGTGGTGGACTGCGCCCTGCTCGCCACACTCACACAACCCGTCACGCAAGTAACCCGAACGCCTAGCACGTCCATTTGTCCACAGCCATCCACATCCACAGTTCTTGACTAAATACTGCTGACATCGTTTTAACGTTCTGGCTTTCGGCCCCACGGCGCCCCGAATCAGGTCCAACATGGCCCTGGCTCCCGGGGGAAACCCGAGCTTCCGAGCAAAATCCAGCCCCCTCTCTCTCTGCAGTCCAGCTTCCATCTGTGCTGCTACGAGAGCAGGGGGCGTCGCAGACAAAACAACTTTGAGACCTCGCTGGTCTATCCAAGAGAGCGGACCTTCGGCATGCCGTCCAGCACGCTTCAAACTCAGGGCGGCCCTGGAAATTTGCCTCTAGGACTTGTTCCAAGAGGGGCACTCGAGAGGCCTAGACAGCTCCCACAGCTTCAAAAGCTCAGCGTGTGAGACAGGAGATGCATCAGGGCGCCGCGAAGCGGTCCATATCATCCTACACCATTGCACAGCTGGGGCTATTGCAAAGCGGACACTTCCGTCACCAAGCAAAACACCCTTAGCCGTAAGCGAAACGCCACCGTGAGCAGGCCCTTCGTTGCGGGCCAGCATTCTCTTCAGGCTCAGCCACTCCGAGGCCGTGAGACCCAAGACCTCCGCCCCGAAGCCAACAGCAGGAGCGATTCCTTGTTTCGAAACTTTCTTGAACGGGGTCTCTTTGGGTCCCTTGAAACGCCTTCGGAGGGCCCGAACCTTACGAATTCGCTTCTTCATCTGGGCAACACGGCTACGCTGCTTCAGTCGTGCTCGCTGTGCATACCGTCGGGCACCAGCTGATTCATCAATACCAAGGTATGCGACACTTGCCTTGCACACTGACAGAGGTAGGTGCAGTGCCGTGCAGACATCTCGAGAAAGCTCTTTGGATGTGGACAGGGTGGACAGCTTGCCTCGGTGCAGTTCAGCTTTCAGCTTAGCGCTGGCGGCCTTGAACTGGTTCATCGCTGGACGAAACGTGGAGCCCTGTGTCATCGATGTAGTTCTGGAAATCCACAAACGGTGCCAGCTCTACGAAGGTGTCGAAGGAATCTACAGCATGGACCTTGATCGCAATGTCGCTGTATCCGTCGCCTGCGGGCAAGCCGTGTGTGGCCACCAGTGCCAGTTGAGCATGGTGCCTCCCGAGTCGGATGATCCTCGGGCACGCCCACATGTTAACAACGAGCTTCAGCCAACAAACTGGGGCTCCATGTCGCTGGAACTTGATGCGCAACTCCTCCAAAGGAATCGACACATAATATTTACTCCAGTCTGCAACAATCAGGACTCCGTACTTGTGCGCGGCCTGGTTGCTCTCAGACCGCGCCGCCTGCAGCCAAGCGCAATCAGTGGCAGAACGCCCACGGCTAGCACCCCAGTAGCGTCGATCAATTTCAGAGTGCATGTGGTCAACCATGGGCTTGCGTTCTCGCTGCCACGTTCGATATACAGCTGCGCACAATCTAATCAATATATTGCCACCCGACGGTTTGCCTAACATTGGCATCTGGATCCAGCACAGCTGCTTGGGCAACATCCCGATGGCCTCCGACGCCGACAGCAGCATCTGTAACCCCGAGGGATGAGGAGGGGGCGGAGGAGGAATGAGGAGGCTGGAGGAGGAGGCTGGAGGAGGAGGCGGAGGAGGAGGAGGCGGAGGAATGAGGTGGAATGAGGTGGAATGAGGAGGAGGAGGAGAAGGAGAAGGAGGAGAAGGAGAAGGAGGAGAAGGAGAAGGAGGAGGAGGGGGTGGAGGAGGAGGAGGAGGAGGAGGAGGAGAAGGAGGAGGAGGAGGAGGAGCCCCCCATCGCGGCGCGGGTCCCCAGGTGTGCCCACCCGGCAGCTGCGCGGCCCGCGACGGGTTGTACGAGGAGGCGGCGCTCAGGTGCCTCCCGCGGCCGCCGCCGCCGCGGCCGCCGGGTCCCCCGCCGCCACTGGGACCGCCGCCGCCGCTGACGTCATGCAGGAGGAGGCGGGATGCTCAGACATCCGACGACTTGTTTTTTTTTCAATGCGGGACCTCCGAAGTCCCGAACCGTTCCCTGGGGACTGTTTTTTGGGGGTAGGTCCCGAGGCCCGGGCAAGGGCCCTCGGAGGCCGAAACTGGCCAACATCGTCCCGTCGATACGTGCTTCACGCTGCGAGCATGCCTGGGGAGGCAACGCCCACCCTCCTCCTTCTTTCGGGCACCCGCTAACATGGACTGGAGATTCGTGAACCTGACAGGTGGGCACCAGATCCAAGGATCGGGGACCGCGACCCCCGAGACGTGCCGACGGTGCCACCTCATTTGGCGGCGGAGAGCACTAATGTGATACGAACATGGGACCCGTCGCGAATCCACGCGCCCTACTCTGGGCATGGTACTCAGCAGTAGATTGGTGTCCGGGGGGCGGCCCAAGCACACCTCGCAGTGCTTCGTCGTGCCAGAAGGCCTCCCAGCTCTCGGCGGTCTCGAAAGCGCCGAGGCCGCAGCCGAGGGCGCCCGCTTCGAGGGAGCACCGCCCTTTTTGCCCATTGCAGCCGCCAGTCGTCGTGCCCTAATCCGTGTCTGCGCTTGCTCCTCCAGCCCCGGCGCCCAGTCCCCCAGTCGGACAGGTGGCCACGACGGCGCGAAGGCGTGCGCGGCGTGTCGTGGCCGTCTGTCCAGCTCCTCCTCCTCCTCCTCCTCCTCCTCCTCCTCCTCCTCCTCCTCCTCCTCCCTCTCCGCCTCCTCCGCCTCCTCCTCCTCCTCCTCCTCCTCCCTCCTCCCCCTCCCCCTCCCCTCCTCCTCCTCCTCCTCCTCCTCCTCCTCCTCCTCCTCCTCCTCCTCCTCCTGCCCCTCACACGCTTCCGACGTCTGGGCCCCTCCTCCCCTGGGGGCGGGGGCCCGACAACGCCCTCCCCCTCCCGCCTCCCACCCCACACCCACCCACCACCCACCAACCCACCCACCCACCCACTCCTCCTCCTCCTTCCTCCTTCCTCCTTCCTCCTTCCTCCTTCCTCCTTCCTCCTTCCTCCTCCTCCTCCTCCTCCTCCTCCACCTACCCCGCTGAGATAAACGGCGGGGGTAGTGCAGGGAGAGTAGCGCCCCCCGAGTGCCCTACACCCACCTCCCATGCCGTCAGGTAAATGCCCGTCTCGGCGGATCGAGTGGCCGCATCGAACTCGGAATCACGTCGGATCTTTTGAGCTTGGGGCCAACCCAGCAATCCTAGCATCTTTTCGGACATCCGAATTTCAGAGCGCGAACCAGAATCGGAGACTAGAACCACGCGCGCGCTGCGCACTTAGGTTCTAGAAAGATGTGGCCATGGTCTAGGGCTTGCAGCATCGGAATGAGGATTTTGTACCAAAACAAGTCCCGAGCCTTCGAATAATGAGCTGAAGGCTTTTTCCTTCGTGTCCCCACGGATGCCATTCGATGAACCCCAATCGCCTTCAACCCTGCATTCTCCTCTCAGAAAGCCCTCCTATTTCATCTCGTTCCCCCCCTCCCTCAGGTGGGGCACGTTGAGCGCACTCCACAACAGAACTGTTGCCGGCGCGATGGACGTGTTCCACTCGGCGCGCAAGGGAAATCAAAATACTCGTTATCGGAACGGTGGACCTGTTCCACTTGGCGCGCAGCATGGAACGAATAACAGGAGCCGCCGGCGCACAATACAACATCAATGGACAACAACTGCTTTCCCCAACCCTGCACGCCCTCCTTGGGGCTGCTCTGGGGTCATGTGGTCCGTCGCGGGGTCCCAATTGGACTCTCTTGCAGCATCACGGGGCCACCTTGGGCTCGGCCTGGAACCTTCTTGAGACATCTCGGGGTTCTTGGTGAGCTCTTGGGCCGCCTTGGGCTCCTCTGGAGGCCCTCTTCGGCCCTCCTGGGGCCCTGTTGGGGTTGTGCGGGGCCTTCTTGGGACCCTCTTGGGAAGCTTCTGGTCGCTCTATGGCTCCGCTGAAGCCATCTTGGCACTGAACAGGGGGAGCCAGAAAATGTCAGAACTTCAACAGACATCCTTGTGTGTCCATCAGGCTGGCCGCTTGGGGCTCGGGTCAGCCTAGGGCCGTTCTGGGTCCTCCTGGGTCCTCCTGGGTTCTCTTGGGGCACATCGGCTGGCACATCGGCTCTCTTGCGACCTCTTGGAGCCATCTGGGAACGCCAGGGGCAGGTCCCGAAGGCTCCTGAGGCCTCTCGGAGTCCAAACCCCACGGGCCTCGGAAAAATTGAATTGATGTCGCTGCTTCGAACCTCTCCTCGGTCCAAAGGTCCAAGGCCAGCCCAGGAACCGACAGCCGGGGCAGGAAACCAGACCGACCAACCCGGCGCCGCCACGACACCGACTGGCCTGGCCCGACAGGCCTGGCTTTGTCGGAGCGGGCGCCCAGTTCCGCGGGGAGACATCTGGGGAAAGAGCTCGTCGGGGCCCCTCCGGGCCGACGGAGCAAGGTCAAGTTTCAGACCCACGCGAATTCAAGCCGCGCCCTGAGGAACGAGGATCGAGGTGGAGGATGATGAATGATTCAATATTGTTGGTTGTCCCGTCAAGCGCACAATGCCACGCTATGGGGCCTTCTCAACGGCCGACAACCGCGCAGACTGTGCGGCATCCCTGTCGTGAGCGTCGCCCAAATGGTTGAGATTCAAATAAACGTCAGTGCCATAACCGTGCATGGACTGCACGTGTATGTCGCCTCCGAAATACTGGGCGTAGACCCGCGACAAGGGGAGTCCGAAGCCGTACCCTGCTATCTCCCGCATCGAGACTTCGTCCTGGCCGCAGAGGCTGGCGAAATCGCCTCCCTGGTTCAGCACTGCCTGCGACGCTGGGTCCTGCGTGCTGGTTTGAAGAAGTACAAGCGGCACAAACATACACTTTAGGAGCTCCAAGTGGACTTCTTGGGTCGGCGCTGGGCCCTCTGGTGGCGCCTCGGACGCTGCCCCTGGCGCGCTCCGCGCGCCAGGGAAGCCTAACGCCGACACGAGAAATTCGCGCGGAACCGCGAAGGTCTGTGTGTTATGCAGTTGTTTCTTCTTCGACTGGTGTAGCCGTACTTCCAAATTCGATCGAGGGTGTCCCTGCGCATGCCCCCGCCAGCGTCGGATATCTTGAGGGTCACGTCGAAGGAACCCTTCATTATCTCCACCGACACCGGCGGCAGCCTCGAGCCGGACGCGATATGCGCCTCGACCGTCGCTCGCATCGCGTTCTTAAGCACCTCCTGGAGCACGAAGTCGAGGTGCTCCGGCACGAAGGAAAACTCGGTGTCCGTCTGGCCTTCTACCACCACGAGAGGCCGTGCGCCTCAACGAGCGACGAGCGCATCTGTATCCATGCCCTCGCGGCCCGTGTGGATCTGTGGACATCGTTGCCCATGGATGCGGGCTCCCATGGATGCGTCGCGCGCGCGACATCCGCGCGGGGCCACCCTATACCCGTATACAATGTATCCACGGGGCCGCAGCGGGAGCGGGGACTGCGAGGCCGTGGTCACGGATGCGGTGAGGGCGTTGGCTAAAAACTAGTTGGTGATGAACCCAGGGTCTGGAAGCTGGTGGAACTCCAATCGTGGATTGGCCATGGATATCATCGCCGCCCTCATTCGATGAGGAACTCTCCAGGGTCTGAAGCCTCGAAGGCACAATCCTTAAAGAACGCCCCCACTGTATTACGCCCTACCGTCTTGCGAGGGCAGAAAAATACATATACCGTCCCCCCAAAAATCTCCTGGGAGGCTCCCTGACTAGGCTTACGAGGGGAGAATCAAGCCGTGGCGACGAGGGACGGGTATCGACATCGGAATGCAGTGTCGCAAAAAGTCGCGACCATGAACCCCATACCCAGCTGTCTGCGGCAATGGGGTCGGATGCCTACGCGCTGGATCGAGCCGGATTGATGTAGGAGGGCCCCAAACCCACAAAACTAAACAAAAACGCCGGGTGTCAACAATTCCTGCGATGCCCAAGTCTCACTACACTCGTAAGATATCCCAAAACCGCCGACGTGGACCGCTGGAGGTCCTTGCCCTTTCCCTGAAATGAAAATTCCATCCACGGCGAGAGGAGGCTGGGTTCTCGGGTCATGACTTGGTCCTCCAGCGGCCTCGGGACGAACTGGGCATCCCTGCAACGCCCACGGCGAGGGGCAGCTGCTAAAGAGCACCCTGTAATCCCGAAGCCCCCCAGGAACTCACAAACCACCAGAACATCTGAATCTCGGAAGACACAACGAGGAGGTGAGGGATGTTCCCAGACAGTTCTTGTCGCAGCGCCTTGGCACAAAGCCGCGGTCGGAGGCAACCGAGGGGCACATCGAAGCCGACCTGGGCACAGCCGAACTGATGCTCCTGGACGTAGGATGTCTTGATTGTTTCAATGCAGGGTCTTCGAAAGTCCCGACCCTTTGCCCGAGCCCCTCTCTTCATTCCCAGTACTCGTTCTTCCCCAATTGGGTGTTGCCTGACGCTTCTTACTTGGTTTTGAAGGACAGGTGGGTGAGTGCGAGGCGCAGTCGTTGCCGGTTTCCCCAGGGCTCCCTGGTCGTGCTTCCTTGCAGGTTTTCCTTGGTTCCTTGGCCTTGGTTCCTTGGTTTGGTCATGGTTGGTGTCTGGGTCTCGGCGGCTTGGCTTCTGGGACTTGGTTCCTTGGTTCCTTGATTCCTTGATTTCTTTGTTTGGTCATGGTTTGTTGGTCTCGATTGCTTGGTTCCTTGGAATTGGTTCCTTGGTTCCTTGGTTCCTCGGTTGTAGTTCCTCGGCTTCTTGGTCTTGGTATCTTGGTTCCTTGGTCTTGGTTCCTTGTTACCTTGGTTTATTGGATCCTTGGTCTTTGTTTGGTCTTGTTTTTTTTGAACTCGGTTCCTTGATGCCTTGGCCGTGGTTCCTTGGTTCATTGGTCGTAATTACTCGGTGTCCTGGTCTTGGTTTGTTGGTGATTTGGTCTTAGATCCTACTAGACTTCTTGGTCCCTTTGACCTTGGTCTTGGTTTAGTCTTGGTTCAATGGCCCGGGTTTCATGGTTCCTTGGTCTTGCTGCATTGGTTATCAGAACTTGCTTTCTGGTTCCTTCGCCTTGGTTCCTTGGTTTCTTGGTCTTGGATCCTTGGTTAATCGGTCATGTTGTCTTGGTTCCTCGGTCTTCGACCATCTGTTCTCAGCTCATTGTCCCTTGGTCTTGGTTCCTTGGTCTTGATTAATCGGTTCCTCGGTCTTGCTTTATTGGTCTTTGCCCGTTGATTCCGTGGTGAGCCCAGCAATCCAAGCAAACAAAGCAACCCGAACAACCCAAGCAACCCAAGCAACCCAAGCAACCCACGCAACCCCGGCAACCCGAGCAACCCATGCAACGCATGGCAACCCAAGCAGCCAAGGAACACAGGTGACCTTGGCAACCCAGGCAAACCATGCAACCCAAACGACCCAAACAACCCAAGAAACCCCAATATTCCAAGCAACCCGAGAAACCGGGGCAAGCCAAGCAACCCAAGTAACCCAAGTTGCCTTCATTGAATGACAACTCGGACTTGCTCGCCATGCGTAGACTCACATGTGACACTCTCAGGCTTTGTCACCCAATCCAAGCTAACACGTGACACGCTTCGGCTCTCTTGCTCACAGTAGATGTACGATGTTGAAAGAATGCTCAAACGCGACGAGCCTCGTCGTCGGGCCATCACAAACCATGTTGGAACATGTCTCGGCATACTGCTTGCTGACCTGCGCGCTCACTTACTTCCCGTGCATGTTTGCGTACCTGCTCACTCCCCCACTTACCAGCTACAAACTTACTGACTTTTTCACGCGCGTACCATCACACGCACACACACACACTGCCGCACTCACGTGCTTATCTATAGAGGCCTCCAGGATGGGGTCCGAGCAGATGGGGTCGAAGCATCGCGCCGCATCGCCAATGCATCGCCGATGTATCGGCGATGCATCGGTGATGCATCGGCGATGTCGGCGATACATCGGTGACGTCGGCGTGGAGAATAGCGGGCTCTGCATCGAGCCGCATCGTCGATGCATCGGCGATGCGGCGCGATCCTCCGACCCCATCTACTCCGACCCCATCTAGGAAGCCTAGAGCTTAACTGCCCACTCGCGCTTACTCTGAAAACGTTCTCCCAACCGGGGTCGCGCCGGGCTCATTGACGGCCGCGGTCTGGGGACCCGGCGAGGGCCCCCGGAGACCGAGAACGGCCAAGACCTCCCGCCGAGATTCCAGGGGCCCAAAGACACACAAAGGAATACACGCAAATCCCAAGATTCCCTCCCATTTTTCCATACTTTCTGGCTTCTCGTCTCCCCCGCCGCTTCCCACATTTTCCCATGGTTTCCTGGGAATCGACGACTCATTGTGTCCGTGTGTTGTTTCCCCTCCTGCGGGATCTCTTCAAGGCGAGGGCGTGTGATGGGCCCGTTTTCCACCGCCACCACCAGAAGTTGGAGGGGGGGAGGAGGTGGAGGACGAGGAGGAGGAGGACGGACAGGAGGAGGAGGAGGAGGAGGAGGAGGAGGAGGAGGAGGAGGACCCCCTCCCCCTCCAACTTATGGTGGTGGAGGTGGTGGAAAACAGGCCCATCAGCATGTCTGTGTTCCCGGCCCCGCGAGCGCCGTAGCGCTCCTGGAAGCGGTCGCCCAGGCTGCGGGACAGCGCCTCCGCAATCTCCGCAGGCCGGCAGTCCTGCCGCACCACCCCGGCATGGCCGCCGCCGCGCGCGCGGGCCTCGTCCACCGCGACGTAGTGCTCGGCGAGCAGGCGGTTGCCTGGCTCGGGGCGACGAGGAAGGATGCGGAGTCGGACTTGATTCAGAAGAGGAAAAAACACACAGACACAATGAATCGTCGATTCCCCAGAAAATATGCGAAAAGATGGGAAGTGGGGGGGAAGACGAAAATCCAACAAAAACATGAAGATATGGGGAATCGTTGTATTTGTGTCTATTGATTTGTGTGTGTCCCAGGGCCGTTTCATTGATCGGAGAGGACACGCGAGAGGACACAAGACCCGTCCGAAAGCCACATCGCCATAGGAGTGTAATAAGGTACGTGTCGCGAGGCACCGGACACAGGGGCCGACTGTACGCTGAGGTATGCGGGCCTTCGTCCGAAACATGATGCATACGTTCTGTTGAACGTTGCACGCTCGTGAACCTACGTGCTCCGCAGAACGTCTACTGCTCGGTGTGCGGTGGTGGTTGCGGATGTAGTTCCACGGTAGTTTGTGATGAGGGCAACGTTAGAAAAGGGCCAGCTCAGAGGGGGGAAGCGTCGACCCGGAATCGGAGATGAGTCCCGGGCAAGTCGACGACAGGCCCCCGATTGCCAGTCCTGGGCGGGGTGGGCTATCCAGCCAATGTTGAAGGGGCCCCAGGACACACAAATAAATACACACAAATAAAAATATTCCCCATAGTTTTCCATATTTTCTGGGTTTTTGTCTTCCCCCCCACTTCCCATATTTTCCCATATTGTCTGGGGAATCGACGATTAATTGTGTCTGTGTGTTTTTTCCCCTCCTGAAATATGGGCGATCCATGGGCGATAGGGAGTCGATGCGTCCCCCCCTCAGCCTTTCCCCCCTGCATTTCGGTCGAGCCTGTCACCCTACAGGGGGAATTTGGGCGAAAGCTTAAAAACACACCAGACAGTACTCCAAAAATACTCAACCATAAACCAAAAAATCGTCCCTATACTATTCTTTACTATTTTTGAATATCCCTCCTGCAGAGGGGCAGGCCCGACTTAACCCTACATTTGCCCCTGACCTCTTCTCCTGTCGACCCATGCCCCTCCTGGCCTATCCGCGTCACGAACACCCGGTCTATGAAACTGTCGAGCTCCACCAGGTCACCGAGGAGCATCTGGAGCTCGCCATAGCCCTCCTGCATCGTCCGCACCATGTCGTCGGTGCTGCGTACCAGGCGGTGCAGCACCTCGGCGAACTCGGCCGAGCTCGCCGCGTCGTGGACGGGCGCCGCGCTTGCGAGGGTGTTGGAAGAAGAAAGAGCGGCCAAACATAAACGTTCAGAACTACGCGCGCAGTTGTTGGGTCGATGATCCTCAGAAGGTGCGTTGGCACCAACGCGCGCTTGTCCACCCAGGCCCCTCGATACGATGCAGGCGGTGTGAACTGCATGCAATCGACGGGGCTGAGCGTGGCACAGTCACACACACACATTCGGCTAACACACGTCCTGCGGATCATCGATCGGCGCTGGACCCCCCATCACTGGAGCGCGGAACGCCGCCGTCAGGGGGGGAGTCCGACGCCGGTCCAAGAGCTCCGCACGGAGCTCGGAAAGCGCATGGCTGTGACACTTTCTCTTCTTCGAGCTGTCGAAGGCCTGGAAGTTGAGGCGGAACATCTCGTGGAACCGCGCGTTGAGCAGGACGACGTAGGGCAGCTGCATGAAGTCGGAGAGCCGGTGTGCCAACCGCACCTCGGCACTGCTTTTTGTTGCCCGTTTGCCGCCGAGCTCGCGGTGCGCTGCACCTCAGGCGTGTGCACTACGTGTTCCTCAGCCTCGATGTCTCAGACCGCTGCTTGTTCGGTTATGCTTTTTTATGCCAGAGCTCTCGTGAGAGCAACCAGCAATCGAAATCGGGATACGCACTCGGGTCGACCAGATTTCTGATTCGGAGATTCCCTCTCTCCCGTGCTTCTTCCTTGCGATGACGATGACGATGACGATGACGTCATGGTCATCGTCATCGTCATCGCTTGAATGTTCACCGGCACTCTTCAGCAATGGGGTACTGGGGGTGGAAGTCGGCCGTGGGCCCCAAAAGGTTTGCCCCTGCGGCCAACTGCTTGTCATCCCGGGTCGTTCCGTGACGGTCCAGGGGCCCGGGGAGGGCCACAGGAGGACTGAAACTGGAGCAGGGACCGACCGCCCCGGCATTCCCATAGGCCTACCTACGAAATCATCTTAGAAAAAAAAACGTGTTTCAAAAACACAGATGTTCCACAAGACGGTCTCAGCCAGAAGTGTTCTGAGAAAAATTCGTTCAAACCACAAACGACAAGCTGGCCGCCACGGCTTTTGCTTTGCGGCGCGGGCCTCCTTCGTCCTGACACAAACCTGCGACGCCGTGATTTCTTCACAACGTGGGCTCCCAGAGGTCCCGAACACTTCTCTGGGAATAGAGGCCTCCCAGATGTGGTCGGAGTAGATGGGGTCGGAGGATCGCGCCGCATCGCCGATACATTGGCGATGTATCGGCGATGCGTCGACGATGCATCGGCGATGCACCAGCGATGCATCGGCGACGTCGGCGAGGCGGCGCCGACGGCGTGGAGAAAAATCGGGCTCCACATCGAGCCGCATCGGCGATGCATCGTCGATTCATCGGCGATGCGGCGCGACCCTCCGACCTCATCTACTCGGACCACATCTGGGAGGCCTAGAGGGAACTGGCCTGTCATCCCGAGCCGCTCTTCTCCGGTGCGCCGAAGCGGGGAGCCAGGGCCAGGGGGGCTAGCGCACCGCGGCCTGCCGTGTGCGCGGACAGGAAGGGGGGGCATGGACCATGTTGCAAGACAAGGAAGAAGGCATGACAGTCTGGGAGAAGCAGGAGACGAAGGCATGGCGTCTGGGAGATGTCGCTGCCCCGCCCAGGATACCCCCCCCTCTGAGCTCCCGATCCCTGATCCCTAGCAGCCCTGGGGCCTGGCGACGGCCCCCAGAGGCCGAAAACGGCAGCGCAAACCTGCCGCCCCGACCCCTCCGCGGCGCGAGGAGGCATGGGCGCCGGGCACCGGGAGCTGCTCCCGCAGCCACTCGGCATGCTCAACGTGGTCGCTGTCCTGGGTGGCGACGCCCGGATCCGACCCCCACCAACCATCGATTCTCCTGAATCGATGTGGGGCGGGGGTAGGGTTCGGACTCCGCCATGTGCTCGACGAATTCCGAACCCTATCCCCACCGCTCATCGAGTTGCTTGAACCGTCGATCGGCGAGGGTACGATCGGGCTTTTTTGCTCAACGTGTCGCGGCGGCGGCGGCCCCAGCGACACGGTCTGCCTTGCAAGTAGAGAATGTGCCGCTCCTCTCCGCGGGGCGGGGGGTCGAGAAGAGCTTTGGGCGTTGACGCCTCGGGACCGGGGAAAAGATGACGTGTTGCGCCGAAGCGTGGTGGGCCAGAACCGGCGGAGCGACTTCCCGACCGTTGGGTTCGGACTTCTGCCGAGATGTCCGAGACCCCGCGCGACCGGCTCAGCAGCTGCTGGATCGTCACGGGCCGTATGGGGCGGCGCGCGTACTGCTTGATGCGCCGCAGGGCTCCGGCCCGCATCGCCCCAAGCTCGGGGGCCCCCGCGGGAACGGCATCGCCTGGCGACTGGGCAGGTCCCGACGCGAAAAGGCGACCATCACGGAGACACCAGAGGCCCCCTCCGCGTCGCGAAAGCTGCACGCTGGTCTTCGGGCGTTTATCGTGGATGCCTCCCAGATGGGTTCAGAGCAGATAGGGTCGGAGGATCACGCGATGCGAAGGTCGATGCATCACCGATGGATCGACGATGCATCGGCGACGATGGCGATGCATCGGCGGCATCGGCGTGGAGAAACTCGGATTCCCCAACGAGCCGTTTCACAACGAGCCGCATCGCCGATGCATCGGCGATGCGGCGCGATCCTCCGATCCAATCTGCGCTGATCCCACTGGAGCGAGTTTCTATATTCTCGGCGATGATGGGCATTCTAGTGGGGGGCGAGGGGCCAGGGGGGGTAATAATGTAACGCCTCCCCCCCGCCGTGCGCACGGCGGCAGTGCCCGGAGCGCACGGGGGGGGGAGGGGCGTTACGTTACAGGGGGGGGGGGGGGGGAGGGGGGGCCGGGGCCTATTATGCCCATTATGTTACAAGCAATAAAGAAACACTCCCTTGGGGCTAGGTCGGGCCTGTCCCCCATACAGGAAGATTTTGACCAACAAATCAAAATAGTCCCCCGCAAACAAAAAACAAATAGTCCAAAAATACTCAAAATTCGTCCCCTGACTATCTTTTTACTATTTCGGAATATTCTCCCGTGGAGGGACAGGCCCGACTCAACCTTGGGGGGATCTGGATGTTGGCCCCACCAGCCCGAAATTCTTTCTCGCCATGGGACGGTCTGCAGCACCTGCGCCTCGCCGACACCACTCCCGAGGGGGGGGGGGCGAGTCGCCCCCCGACCGGCCGCTGGACACCCGAGAGCCGTGGCCCGCGCCGCATGCCCCCATGAGTTCTCGCGCTGTCTGGCGGTGCGCACGAGGGGGAGGGAGGGAGGGGGGGGGGGGGCTTCTTAGAAGGAGGCTGCTTCTCAAAAGGCGCCGGCCTGACATCCATAGATGAGGCCCGCGCCTTCGAAGAGGCAGGGGTGCTCCTAAGAAGCCCTCCCCCCTCCCCCCACCCCCCTCTGCGCGTGGCTGAGCTGTGAGAACAAAAGAAGCACGGCGGGCATTCCTTCGCAATGTTCGGCCTCCCGGGGGTGCCATACCGAAAAATTCAAAGACATCGGGCAAGTCTGCGGGGAAGCTGGAGAAACGGCGAACCCTCAGCCCTCAGAGCAGGGAGTCGCAGCCCAAAATCGTGGCGACGGGCTTCTGCAAGTCTTCGGCCACTCGTGGGGGCCTGTGTCCCGGCCCCGGGACAAGCCTATGAACAACTGCAGGACGAAAAGCTGGCCCAGGGAAGGCCCGATATCGTGCCGCGGACCAGACGGACGACGCTTCGACTGCTTTGATGCTCGGGCCCAGAATTCTGGACCTCTTCGCCAAGACAAGGTTTTCTGATCCCGACCGGCCGCCTCGATGTGTCGAGGCTGCAAATGACCCCTGGAAGAATCTGGAGGACGTGGAGGAATTCGGGAATGTTTGGAACCGCTTCGGATAATGGGCAACGACGGGGACGGTACTCACCATGAAGAGATGAAGAGCTGGATGCGACGGGCCGACTCTTTAAATCCAAATTGGCAGACTGACGCGCCACTGGGAGCCCAAGAGAAACACCGGGGAAAAAGAAGTCTGAAAAAATGGTGCTGGGCCGCTGGAAAAACTCCTGGCCTACGCTGGAAGAATTCCAGTCCGCACTCCTGGTGTTCTGGTGTGCCGAATTATGCTTATCCAAGAGGCCGCAACGGCAAATACCACTTATTGGATAGCTGAGGAACCTACCAACACAGACTGCGCGCGCATACACGCAATACGTTTACAGCGCATGCTACGATGACATGGGGAGGTGACTGCACCGTAACACCACCCTTCCACACACCAATACCTAGAATCGGCGATATGTGCATCCAAATGCACTGAACAAAACACCCGCTTTGTAGGGACACACTTGCGTTTAACTTCTGGAAGATCCGTACAATCAATGTCAACACACGATCATGATCCAAATGCCGGGCCTCAAAGGTAAGCACCAGTCGTGTCCAGCCTGAAATTGAACTAGCAAGCGGACGTCGTCTTCCTCCGCGCTCTGCTCTCAGTCGAGAAGGGCTGCAATGCCAGAAGAGGCTGTCAATGTGTGTACGGAGACGGGCGGAAAACAGGACGTTCAATTGCAGATGACACCAACGAGAACTGGTGGAGAGTCGATGAACCGAGATAGCGCGCATAACGCATGTAGAGCAAAGGCATCGACATGTCATCTTTGTCAGAGGCGTGGGGTAAGACGGGGGATCGGCATGAATGTGCGTCCCGCAATGGGGATAAGACCTGGTCTCGAAGAGAGGTGATATAGAGTAGAACATACGAATGACCACGCTTGCGTCTGCCACTCGAACAAGGGTTCGTTACCACAACGGGCAAACCCACCCTTGCAATCAACCACCAAACCAAATGGTGATCAATGATGTCGAGCCCGCTTCTGCCATGGTGTCATGTGAGCGGCTGGACGTCTGACAGAGCACAAGCAAGCACGGCGAACCAAACAATCAATGCCTGCTTAGCCAGTAGCCGTCCTTCAATCAACCTCGTGTCCTGAATAGCGACTTCCCTTCCCCTGCACTTTCGGAGCTACCCAGCAAATCACTAGCATGTTCGACATGTCCGACACTCTGATGCTGGAGAAATCACCCGGGGGCTTCAAGGCCAGCTTGCCCAACCCAAGATTTAGATGTGCGCTTGCTCCTTTCCTGGTCCCCCCTCCCCAAATAAACACGCACCCCAATGATAACGAGGGGAAGCGGAATACTAGTTGTAGACATGGAGATTTGCTACCTAAAAGGAGAAAGAGTACTCGTTGCTCACTGGGGCAAGGGACACATCTGTGAGTATTCAAAATTTGGGACCGCCAGAGTGCACTTAATACTTGGTTTGAGATCGTCTCAATGACACGTGAGTGTGGGTTCATGCTCAAACCGATTACGTAAGGATTTCTAGTCGCCCGATGTCAAAATCAATCATCAGATTCACATGGGAGACAACCCCATCCAACTAGCACATACCATATAGACGTTCAACTCAACAACCTACAACCTAGTACGGACATGCTATCTGTCACCGCTGCGGCTGGTCGGCGGTCGGTCATTGGGCGGTCCATGGAACTTGGCGTGGCCTGTTGGTGTTATACGGGTGGTGTGTGGGGGAAGGAAAGGTGTGGTAAATGGGTTCGGTGGGGGTGCTCTATCGGTTGTGTATGGTTTGTGCATGCGCTGGAAATGGGAGCGCATTGAAACTGGTATGCGGTCTACGGGTGCTCGACGGGTGGTCGATGGGAAATCGCTGGTGACGGAGCAAAGTCCAGTCGTGCCCTCGGGGGCTAGGCGCCACAGAACTATGGCTGGTCCAGCGTTTCGTTGCCATTCAGGACAACGGTGAAACTCTACCCCAGACGGCAAAGTGGAACTCTGGAATCCAGCCAAACGTCGCGGATGCAAAGTTACCACACCAGCTGCCATACTGTCTCCATAGAGCACCCAACGCCAGACCTAGGCTATGCTGCTGGCAAATTGGGACATTCACCTTCGGCGGTCGCATTGGCAGCAGCTTGCAGCGCAAGTTCGCGCAGCAATTTGCGCAAGGGGCGCACGTGTCGCGCCTGGCGCACCTGGCGAACCTGGTGCGCTTGACTGCGTGCTCTCTGGCGTGTCCGCCAGTCGAACATACGTGCGCATGCTCGAATAGCCGCCAGTGCCCCCCTTGGAGACCTACGGCTTTGAGGAGAGGATTGTGGTCACTGCGCGTAAGGCTCGGACGCCCCTCAAAAATGACCCCCAATCCCATTGGACTAGCAGTAACCTTCAGTACATCTGCAGGTCGATCCAAAGGAAAGAGCACGAGCTTGGCAACAACACTCTTGGAAAGATGCGAAGCCAACGGCCACATGGAAGGCAAACCAGCTTTGACAATACAAGCTGCGCGTCACGTCGCTAATGGCTGGCGGGCAACTCCAGGACAAGCCGGGCAGCGGGTGCCATCCTGCCCAAAATTCTACCACCCGGGCAATCGCCCGTGCCAACACCGCGAGGCGGGAACTTATCCGTGATCACCGCATGAGGGATCGATCTTAGGGGAACTCGGCAGGCGGTAGATGTGGATACGGTTTGGCCCCAAGGGGCCCGAATAGGTGCATATTCACCGCCTCCCGGGGACCAGGAATATCGTTTCCCAGGCGGTGGGTATGGATAAGTCTCCGCCTCGGAGACACCACCAGCAAATGCTCTTCACTCACTCACAGCCTGGACAATGCCCAACGGCGAAGGTGCAGACGCATTCCTGGACATGACGTGCCGGCTCAAGTTCCTGCAATGGCACGGTCATGTAGCGCGAGCTCGGATTCGATCGTCCCTGCCCCTGGCCTGCAGCGTGGCGCGCGGTACAAAAATACCACATGCGCGGCCACGAGCTCGGAATCGGCCACACGGTCAGTGCTGTGCCGTGTATAGAGGCTTCCTAGATGGGGTCCGAGTAGATGAGGTCGGAGGATCGCGCCGCATGGGCGATGCATCGGCGACGTCGGCGAGGCATCGGCGCCATCGGCGTGGAGCAAATCGGGCTCCGCATCGAGCCGCATCGCCGATGCATCGCCGATGCGGCGCCATCCTCCGGCCCGATCTACTCCGACCTTATCTAGGAGGCCTCTTGTGTAGGGCCGTCCGCGAGAGCACTGTTCGTCTCCGAGTAGCGTGCCGTGCAGCCCCCGCGATGCTGCTGAATATTGCGTGAATGAAGGGGCCCCAGGACACACAAATAAATACACACAAATGAAAAGATTCCCCATATTTTCCCATATTTTCTGGGTTTTTGTCTTCCCCCCCACTTCCCATATTTTCCCATATTTTCCTGGGGATCGTCGATTAATTGTGTCTGTGTGTTTTTTCCCCTCCTGAACTCTAACAGCCATCAACGAAACAGCGCTATCTTTGGATTCAAAAGGCGCGCTTGGTGCTAAAAAGTGTAAGAGGCGTGTTTCAAATCATTGTGCGCACGCTTCACACATGTTTTAGACATGTTTCAGACGTCTGGAAACTATGTGACAACCTTCCTCCTCTCCATTGATCGTCTTTCACAGCATTAGAGGAACAGACGACGGCATATGCATAAACTTTCGGAGGTCCACGCGAATTTCTTGGATCGGCGCTGGGCCCTCCTTCCAGGCGTGCGGAGCGCGCCGGGGGGGGGGCGCCGGAGGCGCCGCCAAGGGGGTCCAGCGCAGATCCAAGCAACCCGCGCGAAGCTCGAGTAGCTGCTTATGCATCGTCTTGTCCATCGAATCATGCCGCTTGGTGCCACGTATCATATGGGTCATCACGAAATCGCATACGGAATGCCCCATAAACTTTGGCGCGGTGCCGCAAGCTTGGGCGCCCGAGTTATCCGGGGTAACTCGGGTCCGGGGTAACTCGGGTTTGGATTCCCGGAAAAGGAACCCGAGTTAGCCCTGACCCGAGTTATCCCTGATGATTCGGGGCTCTGGACGCCCTGAGTTATCCGGGGTAGCTCGGGTCCGGGGTAACTCGGGTTTGGATTCCCGAGAAACGAACCCGAGTTATCCCTGACCCGAGTTACCCCTGATGAGTCGGGGCTCTGATCCTCCGTTCCACCTTTCAGCTTCAAGAATGTCCTTTCGGGGGCATCTCAACAGCGGCTGGAGAAGGTTCGCTCCGCACCTGCAGAAGTGTGGTGCCGAATGGACGGGTGCGAACTCGGACTCTGTCGGGGGGGCTCGGGTGGAATATGCAGATCGCACCACTACGGTAAAAAAACATAACCTTTCGAACCTCCGCGCGGATGTCTTAGACTTGAGCTTGGCCCCTCTGCGGCGCCTCTGACGCCGCCGCTGGCGCTCTCCGCCTGCCAGGGAATCGGGCCTCAACGCCGATGCAAGAAATCCGCGTGGACCTCAGGAGACTTGTGCTCATGCATTCTTCCCATTCGACGATGGTCGCGAAGATTGTCGCCAAGTGCGCTGTGTGACATGCGGTGCTGGGGGTGTGTCAGGAGATCGGATCAAAGAGCTCGGCGGCAAACTTCGGTCAACAAGCGCTGTGCCGTGTGGCGTCGTGGTGTGGCCGTGAGCTCACGAACGCACTCGTCGTCGCCTAGTGCCGTGCTGTGCGGGATCTTGTGGCGGAAACGGGTGCCATGATCATGCGGTGCTGGACTGTGCCGGGTCTGGGCATGTGGCTACGGTATCGAAAGTGATTGTATTTGCCGTGCTGCGTGGTTCGGTGTAGCGTTGTGAATCAAAATTTGAATTACGCCTACTTCCTTCAGTCATCGCCAGCCTTTAAGACGAAGATTCGTTTGGCTCCAGCTGGCATCCGAAGGCAATCAGTCCACTGGCGCCCGTCAAGATGTGAAAGGCATGGCTGAGCTTAGCTTTCGCACACCTGTCGCACCCGCGAGAAAGGCAGGAGCTCGGCCGATGGGAACCAGCAGCCTGTGGGGCACGAGGCAACCTTCCTCGCTCCTTCCTTCGGCTACGCGTAAGAGTGACCTTCGGCAAAAAGAGTGCGCTATGGCGCGGGCGGCTTCAGGGGGCCGCAGGGGGGCCCACATCGGGGCGTACAAACCAATGCTGAGGGGCCCTGTGGGCCCGCACCAAAGGTCACTCCGGCAAAAGACCACTCTTACGTGTAGTCGGTCCCTGCCGTACCCGCCGGGCAACGCCGGGGGCAAGGGGAGTCCGCCACGCCGCTCGTGTACTCCCCGCGGGCTTGGCAATGCACCACGCCCTGGGCACAGGCAGAGCGGAGGGGAGGGTGTGAGGCTGGCTCACAGGGACACTGGAGGGTCGCTGTGACGGGCGGGAATTTTTCCAGAACCGCCGCCTGGGGGAGTAACTTTCGGGGATCTGAGGCGGTGAATTTAGCATGGTAGCCAGCGCGGACCTCACATAAGTTGTGTAGCAACCTATGTTGTGCAATCTATGTGGAGCAATATACGTGGTGCAATCTATATGGTGCAATTGACTACCCTGCACCGCGCTTGACCACTCCACTGCTCGCGCAAACATCCCACCCACCCACCCGCAGCTTGGTTCGCAAAATCTCTTAAGACCGTGACGGTGGGTACCAAATGGCACTTGCCAACGACAGCGACGCCGACGACAGCGACAGCGACAACGACGACGACGACGCCGCCGACAACGACTACGACGACACCGGCGACGTCTCCAACGACTTCGACGACGCCGACAACGACGACGACGACGATACCGACGACGACGACGACGCCGACGCCGACGACGACGACAATGACAACGACGACGACGATGACGACGCCGACGACGACGACGACGACAACGACGACGCCGACGACGACGACGACGACGTCAATGACGCCGACGACGACGACGACGACGACGACGACGACGACGGCGGCGACGACGACGACGACGCCGACAACGACGACGAAGACGACCACGACGCCGACGCCGACGACGAAGACGTCGCAAACGAAGACGACGACGAGGGAGGAGGGAGGACGACGACGGCGACAACGGCGACAACGACGACAACGACGAGGGAGGAGGGAGGACGGCGACGACGCGAACGACGAAGAAGGAGGAAGGACGGCGACGCCGATGACGGCAACGACGAGGGAGGAGGGACGACGACGACGACGACAACGACGATGACGACGACGACGGCGACGAAATAGGAGGGACGACGACGAAACGCCGACGACGGACGACGACGACGACGAGGGAGGAGGAGGAAGGACGACCACGGCGACAACGACGACGGAAACGACCACGACGCCAAAGAGGACGACGACGACGAACACGAGGAAAGACAGAAGACGACGTAGTCGACGACGACGACGACGACAACGACGCGGGAGGAGGGAGGACGGCGACGACGACGACGACGACGACGCAAGAGCGCGCGCGCACGCTTTTGTTGAAAATCCGCGTTGCGAACCCTTGGGTGTTTGTAGGCTTTTTGGACGCGCGATTTCGAAATCCTTCCGACACCGATGGGTTTTGAAGGATTTCGGCGTACGCGCGCGACCACGCGCGCGTCTGCACTTCGTCCCATTTTTTTGCACAGGATTCTCGCGACGGCACGCGCGCAAGGGCGTTCGACAGATTTCGACATGCGCGCGCGCGAAGCCCGATTGGTATAATTTTGTGAAAATCTTGAAAAACCAACGGTTGTCTTAAGATTTCGCAAGAGCTCGCGCGGAAGCTTTTTTAGCAAATCAGTGTTGCGAAACCATGTGTTTTTGTATGTTTTTTTTTGTTTTGGAAGTTCGAGTGCGAAATCTCTCCTGCGCCGAAGGTGTTTGAAGGATTTCGGCATGCGCGCGCGACGACGCGCGCGTGTGCACTTCGTCTCATTTTTTGCAAACGGATTCGTGAAAAAGTGCTATGTTAGAGCAAAAATGTCACCGCATAATGTTTTTTTTGTTTTTAATACAAGGGACCTTCAGGGGGGGAAACCGGCCTGCCTGGGATGGTACGATTTTTGATATTTAGGATGGACGAATGTGCAGAATATATATATATATATATATATATATATATGAAATTATACTATCCCAAGGGGAGCTGATAAGTCCGGGGAGGGGGGGGTAGAGTCTGTTTTCTTCTTAGAAAGGAGAATTAATCACTTGCTCAACTTGAAGCTGTCCTCTCCACTGCTCGTGCAAACATCCCACCCTCCCGCCCGCAACTTCGTCGCACGACCTCCTAAGACCGTGACGGTAGGCACCAAATGGCACTTGGCAGCGACACCGACAGCGACGACGGCAGCGATACCTAGTGTCTCATGCGTGTTTGGGACATTCGATTTTGAAATCCTCGCGAAATCCAAACCAGTTTCTGCAGGTTTTCGGCGCGCGAGCGCGACGACGCGCGCGCGCGCTTCGCCTAATGTTTGTTCTAAGGGCTCTTGGAAACTGCTGATTCTTAATGAGCGAGCGCTCGTACATAATATGTTTAAACAATGGATGGCGGGGGGTGGAGGCGGGACGCCGGCCACCCCGGGATGGTGCAAATGCGCGTTGAAGATGGACGACGGGGCAGAATCATATGTAAATTGCGCATCCCCCGGGGGTAATGCTATTCCGGCCTCGGGAGCCGGTGGGATCTATTTTTTAGAACGGAGAATCCAGGCAACGTTATATACGCGGTGCAATCTACGCGATGAAATTGACTTCTGTTCGCAATGGGTCGTCCACTCCACTGCTCGCGGAAACATCCCACCCGCCCGCCCGTAACTTGGTTTGAAAATCTCATGCGGCGGCGATTGCGATGAGGGTTTGGCGCTGGCTGGTGCATCTCCGCGGCCGCGCCAGCCCGCGCATGCGCGCGCGCAGCGGCCGAGTAGCTTGGCGCGCCCAACGCGGCTGCGGCGGCGCTGACCGCTCGGCACATCCCAGCGGGCACTTGAATGCGAGTCGGCGGCTTGGGCGGGCGCGGCACCATGGCGACGTCGACGCATGCAAACGCGATGGCGATGATAGTGGCGATGTTGGTGGTAGACGCGATGATGATGGTAGCGGCAATGACGGCGCTGGTGCCGATCGCGCCGACGACGACGGAGGCGTCTTCGCGTCGATGATGATGAAGGTTTTGAAGGAATTCGAAATGCGTGCGCAGACGCGCAAGAGTGGTTCGCATGGCATTAGTTGGCGCGGATCGCGCCACCCCAGCACGCGCGCGAGCGTTCGAACGATTTCGACTTGCGCGCGCGAAGCCCGTTTGGTTGCATGCTATGGTAATGATGGGGAATCCATGGTTTTCTGAATAATTCGCAAGAAAGGCGCGCGCTTGTGTTGAAAATCCTTGTTGCGGAACCCTGTTCTTTGTTTGTGTGTTGTTTGGGCGCTCGATTTTGCAATTTTTCCGAAGCCGAAAAATATTTTTGAGGGTTTCCGGCTGGCGCGCGGGACGGCGCGCGCTTCTGTTCATTTTCTGCGAGAAATTCTCGCGATGGCAAGCGCGCAAAGGCGTTCGGACGATTTCGACATGCGCGCGCGTTAAGCGCGCTTGGTAGTCTGTTCGTGAAAAAAAAATCGGTTGTCTTAAGAGTTCGCAAGGGCGCGCGCTTTTGATGAAAACCAGCGTTGCGAAAACATGTGTTGTTGCATGCTTTTTGGACGCTCGATTTTGAAACCCCTCCGAAACCGACGGTTTTTAACAATTTCGGCACGCGCGAGCGACGGCGCGCGCATGCACTTCGCCCCATTTGTTGCAGGGGATTCTCGGAAACCTATGATTTGTGATAAACGACTGCGCGCGCGTAATTATTTGTTGCAATGATAAACTTGAATTCGCAAATAAGATGGACATAGGGCCAAATCATACCCGCTTCGCATCGGTTCCCGGCGAATGGATCAGTCCGGGGGCGGGGGGGAGGGGATGGCAGAACCTTGTTGCATCTGTTCGGCTTTAAGACAATGAGAATTCACCTTGCCAAATTGAAGTTGTCGACCCCGCCGCTCGCGCGATCACCCCGCCCGCGCACCCGCAACTTGGTCTGCAAAGTCCATGCGGCGGCGATTGCGATGAGTGCTTGGCGCTGGCTGGCGCGTCTCCGCGGCCGCGCTTGCCCGCGCGCGCTCGCGCGCGCAGCGGCCAGCTAGCTTGGCGCGACGCGCGCGGCGGCGGCGGCGCTGACCGCTGGGCAGACCCCAGCGGGCACTTCAGCGCGAGTCGGCGACCTGGGCGGGCGCGGCATCGCGGCAAGGTCGACAGCGGTAGACGCAATGATAATGGCGGCGGCGCTGGCGACGATGCTGACAGCGACGACGGCGCGGCCAGTGACGGCGCCGATGCTGATCGCGCCGACGACGATGACGGCGCCGTCGCGTCGGCGACGAAGGCAGCGGCAAGGACTCGGCACGCGCGCGCGGCCGACGCGCGACACAGGCCCGCATGGAGTTATTGGACGCAGAGCGTCGCCCCCCCCCAAAAAAACAAACAATCCCAAAACACGCGCGCGAGGGCGCGCGAATGATGTCAGCGCGCGGCGCCAGGTGGTCGTTGCGAAACCGTGTGCCTTTGCATGGTTTAGGGGCGCTCGAATGTGAAGCCGCTTCGGAATCGAATTGACGGATATCGGCACGCGTGCGCGACGACGCGCTCGCGCGCGCGTCGCCCCAGTTCGTTGCAAATGATTGTCGCGACGGCGCGCGCTGAAGGGCGCCAGGAAGTTCGAAATTGGACACGCGCGCGCACGAAGCCCGTTTGGTAGCATTTTCTGAGCATGCTGAATAAACCGATGGTGCTTTTAAAACAGAAACGCAAGACCACGCGCAAACTGTGTTTGAAAATCCGCGTTGCGAAACCGTGTGGTTTTGATGTGTGTTTTTTGGACACTCGATTTTGAATTTCTTAAGACATCGGAAGTTGTTGTTGCAGGATTTCGGCATGCGCGCGCGATGACGCGCGCGCACTTCGTTTTATGTTCAGGATTCCTGAAAACTGATGTTTTTTTTGGATAAACAAGCGCGCATAATGCGTTTTGCAGGGGATGACGGGGGGGGAGGGGGGGGCGGGTACCGGCCCCCCTGGGATGGTGAAACTTTCTATTTAGGGTGGGCAATGGAATCATATGTAAATCAATCTGAGAAAAAGGGAGCGGATAATCCTGGGGGGGGTCAAATCTATTCCCCAAACGGCTTGCTGAACGGGGTGCTGTTGTGATAAAAAGCTTTTTCCAGCCGAAAGAATTCAAAGCAGAGACGTCCTCAATTTTTTCGTGGCCCAGCCCATTTCGCCTGA